TGCCTCTGAGTCGAAGCAGAGAGGGGTGGCCAAGGCGGTGGTGCCAGAGGAGGGTCTCGTGAGACAGACGACGACACGAACAAGGGGCAGACTCAGGACCAGACCTGGACGCTGCAGCAAACACCTGACCAGACGAAGGGGTCCTACCAGACGCAGTACCTGGAGGAGAAGCAGTGGTCAGTGTGTACAGGCTCGACCCCGGCCGACGTGTAAACGTAGCCAGGTGGCGACCTGTATCCGCCTCCGTACAGTGGGTCACCCGCTGACGAGCAGGGGTGAACTGGTGGACACCTGCATCCTGGAGGTCAGCACCACTCACCAAGTTCGTCGAGAACGAGGGGAGGTAGAGACCAGTCAGGGTGCCAGAGGGGGCCGCCGGACACGGGAGGACAGTGGAGAAGCAAGACAGGACAGGCCCCCCAGAGGGGTCCGCCAGGGACACCGCAACAGGCCGACTCAGCGGCGTGAGAGTGGTGCGGTCCCTAAAGAAGGAGCGAGACGCTCCAGAGTCAAGGGTGAAGGTGTGAGAGGCCGAAGCCGACACAGTACCTGAGAGGGCGGACTCACCAGTACCTGAAAGCACAGACGCACTGGCACCTAGAGCAGCAGCCTCACTAGTACCTGACGCGGCAGTACCAATGCCCGGGTCGGGCGGGAAACACCGGTAACAGTCATCCTCATCACTACCAGTCACAGCATACATAGCAGAGAGAATAGCATCAAAATCAAGATCATAAATAGCTACACCAGCCCTAGACAGCTCTCCCCAGCGGGGGATCTCAGCGGCCTCCGGAAACTGCTGACGCCAGGCGTCGGTCAGGCGGCCAAAGCAGCGACGGGCTGTGTGGGCGCCTCCACACCTCTCCCCTGCACGGTCACCAGTGCGAAGAACGTAGGGGCAGGGACCAAGCGCACCACCGCGCTGACGCTGCAAGTACCACTCACGGAGCTGCTGAGGGCCGGGGACGGTGCGAGAGCGCTGCTGCTGCTGCGGCTGCTGCTGCGGCTGCTGCTGCTGCTGCTGCTGGCGCTGACCACCCCCAGAGCTGCTCCGCTGGGACGAGCCACTCCGACCCCCTCCTCCACCGCCACCCCCGCCTCCACCGCCACCCCCGTCGCCACCGCCACCTCCCCCACCAGGACCGTCGCTCCCACCGCTCCCACCGCCTCCTCCGCTACCACCTCCGCCGCCACCTCCGCCTCCACCGCCGCCACTACTACCTCCACTCCCGCCACCACCCCCCCCGCCACCCCCACTCCCCCCTCCACCCCCACCGCCTCCTCCACCGCCCCCTCTGGCTCCACCCGCTCCCTTGCCCCCCTTGCCCTTGCCAGTGCGGCGTCTGTCACTGGGGGCAGACGCCGCGCCGACCGACTCAAAACCAACGAGGTCGGCCGCAGCGGCAGAGGCGACAGAGGGCAGCAGGGGGGAGGGACCACACCCCTCAAAGATGGGGGTGCGAGGGTCACCCCGAGAGGCCCCTACAGCGACAATACTCTTCTCAGCCGCTAGCAGGGACTCCTCAAGGAGGTCGACAGTGAGAGTGGTGGGACAGACAGAGAGAAACTGGTCCCTAACGACACGAAGGGACTCAGGGAGACGAGTGACGAGAAAGTAGAGAGTGATGTACATGGGAGGAGGGTTCGCAGCGCGGAACTCAGCAGGAAGGGCAGCGCGGTAGCGGGTGTCACTAGCGCGGAGGTGGGTAACGAGGTCAGCGACAGTGGGAAAGGAAGCGAGGTCAGGGAAGAGAAACGGTAGCATGAGGCGGCTAAGGGTAGCGGAGGAAGGGGAGGAGTAGCGCGCAACTACAGCGTCGTACAAGGCCTGAGCGGTCTTGCACTGACTAAAGTGGGCACGCTCAGAGGAAGGGAGGTGGCGACGCACAGCAAGACGTGCAGCAGCATCGCGGGTCGCCCACTTGGAGCGAACGGCAGAGTCAGCATCAGCAGGCGGGGCAGGGACAGCGCCAGAGACAAAGTCAAAGAGAGAGACCTCATCTACCGCATCACACAGTAAGTACAGCTGCAGGTCCTCGATCCAGACGGCAAAGTCAATGGCCCTCCCCTCAGCGTCAAAAGTGAGAACATTGGGGGTGGCCATGGCAGCAGCTGAAAGTCTCACCGGGATGGGAGAGTCGGGTAGGTCAGCAGCAGGCGGCTCGGGCTGCTCGGGCGGCTCGGGCGGCTCGGGCGGCTCGGGCGACTCGGGCGGCTCGGGCGGCTCGGGCGGCTCAGGTACCGGGCGGCTCGGCTGCTGCTGGGCGGCTCGGCTGCTGCTGGGCGGTTCGGCTGCTGCTGGGCGGCTCGGCTGCTGCTGGGCGGCTCGGCTGCTGCTGGGCGGCTCGGCTGCTGCTGGGCGGCTCGGCTGCTGTTGGGCGGCTCGGCTGCTGCTGGGCGGCTCGGCTGCAGTGTAGTGGCGGGGCCGGGACAAGGGACGGCGGGGCCGTCAGGGTGCAGCGGTGGGGCCGAGACAGGGGACGGCGGGGCCGTCAGGGTGCAGTGGCGGAGCCGGGACAGGCGCAGTGGCGGGGCCGCAGGGTGCAGCGGCGGGCCGTCAGGATGCAGCGGAGGGCCGCTGGAAGCACCCGCGGCTGAGCAGGCTGCGGGGCCGCGTCGTAGGAGGCGGCAGGGCCGCGGCTGAGCAGGCGGCGGAGGCCGCGTCGTAGCGGGCGGCGGGGTCGCGGCTGAGCAGGCGGCGGAGGCCGCGGCGGAGGCCGCGTCGTAGAGGGCGGCGGGGCCGCGGCTGAGCAGGCGGCGGGGCCGCGTCTTAGCAGGCGGCGGGGCCGCGTCTTAGCAGGCGGCGGGGCCGCGTCTTAGCAGGCGGCGGGGCCGCGTCCGAGTAGGCGGCGGGGCCGCGACTGGGTGGCGGGGCCACGACGTAAGGGCGGGGCCGCGACGTAAGGGCGGGGCCGCGACTGGACGGCGGGGCCGCGAACGAAGGGCGGCGAGGCCGCAGGAGAAGGGCGACTCGGGGGGGTCGCTAAAAAAAAGGATCGCGCGCCTCGGGGCGCGCTTCGGTGGGCCCTAGGCGAAGTTCCCACAGGGAACCCGCTCTATACCATGTGAAAGGAATGAACAGGAATGAATTGACTAAGTCAGAGTTGGGTACAAATACAACCCTAGCAAACTGTACCCCATATGTGCTACCCCACTATAGCCTACAAACATGCATCAGCTATAATAATCTGACAGATCCGTCCCAAACCGCATCCGATGCCGATTGGGGTTTTTTTTTTTAGAAGTTCGCAGATTGGTTGGGCGCGAACGGGAATCTTGTTGAGTTTCAAGTTATTTTGGCGGGAGCTACATGTATGACCATTCGTGTGATTTTTCACCTGTTGAGAGTGACTGAATCCATGACCCCGCTTACCAAACCCGTCAGAAAACCCGATACAGTGACCGTACGCGTTTTTTTTTTCATCATTTACGTTATCGAGTCCCAAGTTGGTTACTTGTAGCATAATTTCCCAACGTTTCGTCCCCACTCATGTGTATGTTACACAGCTTCCTCGCCATCGTTTAGAATGTTCATACGTGCGATGCGAAGTCGATCGTGTACAGTCGGTGCCCATTTCAAGAACACCAGGTAGGAGGGCGGCATGTGCGTGAAACGTGTTTGAGGAATTTCGCCATATTCGCCCTTGTCACCACGGGCAAAAATATGACAGTAATATGAAATTGCAACGCGAATCAACGTGAATCGAGTCAAGAGCTTTAATTTTGTAACCAGGTTAACTTCTCTTATGACGGGCAACCGTTGTTGTTTATGTACTGTACATGTTTTTCTTCCTCAACTTGGTGACTGTACCCCGAAATCGACACAATGGTCAATTTAGTCACTCGCGGGCAAAACGTTCGCGAGTGACTAAATTTCTAATTGTGAGGAGCAAATGTCTTGTGATAGGCTGAGCATCGACAGTATGTCTACCCTAGCATTCAAGCGACATCCCCAATCGTTCTCCATTTACGACGCAGGCCCAAACACGTGTTCTGTGCACTATTGTTGGGGGATTGTCGGCACAAGGCTCTGAAGGCCAGCCACCAATTCTGCCAAGCAAGCATGTTTGTACAAGGGCGCTAATACTGCACATATTAAGGGCGCATTCCGCTGTGGACACTGTCTCAAAGTGTCCCAATCGTATTTGTGACTAACTGTGACACTCTGAAAAGAATGTTCGTGACTAGTTGTGATACGCCGAAAACAATACCCCTTCGTCACCAATTGTGAAACTTCGAACCATAAACAGTGTCGTCTTGGCCAGATGTCGTAACATGAGTGGTTGCATATTTTCTGTTCATCCTTTTCGGCGTATTACAATTAGTCACGAACATTTATTTCGTTGTGTCACAACTAGTAACAAATACGATTGGGACAACTTCTTTGAGACAGTGTCCACATCGGAATGGACCCTAACTACAATGAAGATACATAACTAGGGTTGAACAAACTAAGCGAACTAATTACAAGAATTTGGCAAAATAATTGTCTAGAGAAAAAAATGTGCACAGAGGATGTCAGAGGATTTGGCACTAGTCGCTGTCCGCACCAAAATGTTGCACAAAGCACGATTATAGATTGCAACCCATGTGTAAAACTAGTCTCCAACTACCGTAACATAATAAAGCTGGGTTGACTATTTTACTCACAAGGGCCACAACTACGAAGTTCAGCTATGCGAAATCTTCAATTGCTACTGAAGATGCTGAGGTGGCATCCTTCTAATCCTGCATCTGCAAATGCCATGATCATTAGGTCCAAGTCTATTGCTCTATTATTTCCAGCATATACTATCTATCCACCACAATCGATGGCTGTGCCTGCTACTCACAACGGCTTCCTGCTGCTTGGCCTATCTGCACAAACTTTGGGCATGTGCTTCTGAGCTGAGCAGCTGGTTGGGGAACTCCAACGAGATGGTGAGAGTTCTGACAGGTAGGAAGCTTTAGGGCTTTACATACAGCTGATATGAGCATCAGCTTTTCACTTTTGATGAGTTTCACACAACTGACATGGCTGGCTCGGGGACGAGATACTTGGAAACGAACTCACGGGCAAAGAGCGAGGGGTTGATGATGCCCTGCAGATGGAGGAGAATTAACGTTCATGTTATAGACATGGATGGATCATTCATATTACCAGATACACATGGTTGAAGGATTTATGGACACAGATCAATGCAGACATGACGTTATCAGGCACACCTGGATGCAACATCACATCATCACAATGTGAGCACACATGTGTTGAAATAACAACATGCACACATGCATATATGGATGCCATGGGCTGTGAATAGACAGGTTGAGTGCAGGTTGAAAAATAGACACACAGAAAAGACCATGCAGTGCAGGCAACAGGCATGCAGGTTCAATGCAATTAAAGGAAGAAGCACAAGCATTCAGTTGTCACAAGACAATATTCACGTTATTTCTTTGCTAGGAATCTTACATGAGAGCCAGGCATGGTGGTGAAGTGCAGCTTTTTCTTCTCGTGCAGGGTCCGCAACCCCAGCCAATCCTCTGCAAACATCGGCTGCTCTTGTAACGGGAGCAGATTCCCGAAGCGGTCGTGCGACCAGAACCACTGGCAGAAAATATTTGGGGATGGGGGAGTTGGGGAGGTTGGGAAGTGGGGAAGTTGGGGAGGCGGGGAAATTGGGGGAAGGGGAAGAGGGGAGGAGAAGAGGGGGGAAGCTGGGTTAGGCGATGCTCAAAGCTGGGGGAGGAGTGGGGGGTGGGGTAGTTTGAGAGAAAGTGATTGGTGGGGAAAAGGGGGGAAAGGGAGATGGAAGGGATGCACCGAGAGCATTGCACGGGGGGAAGGGAAATGCGCACACGGATTGCGCACACGGATTGCGGCTAGATGTTTTCCCATTACTCAGCGCAATATTCGCATGGACTTGTAACATACCGATGACTGGGGAGGCGAGATCATCGTTTCATCTTCCCATCGCACCAGTACGAACCGCTCCAAGCTCCGTACGTTAGCAGCGTACGTCTCATTCCTTCTCGTCGGGCCGCGCTCGTTGTTGATATCCGCGAGAAACGCGCTCCGCTGCAAGTACCGATCCATGTGCCGCCACAGCCGAAAGTACTGCGCGGGCATGAAAAACTTTTGTACCCAGGGCTGGTAAATTTGGTGCATATGCGGTTTTAAAAGTTTACAGAAGTCTATAGCCGTCCCTAAGCCACTAAGCACCGCCCATGTTACGCTCCCTGCAATCTCGCTGCTTCCAGCGAAGCTTCCGCCGCTGATTCCGCCGCTAAAGCTAATAAGACCGCCGCTGAAGCCGCTTAGACTACCCGAGCCGCTGCTGAGTCCGCTCAACCCGCCGCTGAAGCCGCTAAGGCCGTTGCTACTTGCTGCAAGCACTCTTAGCGCCGACACGCCAACGCCTCCTAAACTACTAAGTCCGCCCGATTCCTCCCCTTCCTCCTGCCACGTGCTTTCCCCTTCCCAGTCCGCTGACACACTGGCGCTGCACGTGGCGTTCGCCGCCACGTCATCATCATCCCCACCCCGCATGCACCCGGCATGGTTCAGCTCCTCTTTATTTTCCGCATCACTCTCCCTGCTCGGGCCGCAGTAAGGAAGCGCCGCCATGCCCGCGTGCGGGGAACCGAGCGTGATGAGCGTGCGCACGGGGGGAGAGTTGCAGCGCTGCACGTACGCGCGGAAGAGCAGCCCGCCCTGGCTGATTCCGATGGCGTTGAAGCCCCCCGCGAGTTGCGGAATGGCTGCGAGGGACGCGCAGACCTCGTCGATCTGCGACGGGGAGAGAAAGAGAGGGGGGGGGAAGGGGGGGGGGGGGAATTGTAGGAAGAGGGGAACAAAGGGGAGGGGGAGGGTGAAGAGTGGGTGAAGGAGAAGAGGGGAGGGTAGGGGGAGAAGGGTTGGGGAGGGGGGGGGGTAGGGGGGAGGAGGGAGCAATGCACGTATGACTTTTGCCTCCTATGATTTCCCCTGTTGCCTGGCACGTCGTTTATTGTCTGTTTAGAACGAGCATTATTGAACCCAGTTACTGTTCGCTACTGCTATGTTCTTTCCATATCGCTACCTGTTGGTCGATCGATCCGAATATGGAGGAGCTTATATCGCGGACGCCCTCTTCCTTGACGCATATGGAGTGGAAGAACACGTCGGGAAGCACGCCCCGCACCGCGGCGCGCAGATACCCCACGCTCTTGTCGTTGCTGCACGAGTCGAAGAACCCGTGCCACACTACCACGGGGAGCGCGGAAGCGGAAGCGGAAGAAGCGGAAGCGGAGGCAGAAAAGGAGGCGGAAGCGGACGCGCACGAGCCCCTCCCTGCGTAGGAGCCATTCCCCGCGAACATGCCGATGCCCGCGGAGGGGCTGTTGCGCTCGGGGGAAGCATGATCGAGAGAGCTACGAGCATCGAGAGCAGTTCGCGCATTGACGGGCGGCTCGGTAGCGTCTACTAAAGGCTCGGCAGCCTCGAGAGCATCCAACGACTCATTAGCTCGCGCGAGACCGAGGAACGCGGAGGAGGCGAGGTGGAGATGCAGGAAGAGGAGGAGCGAGGCGGCGCGTCTTAACGGCCGGAGGAGTGCTCTTGCATGCAGTGACGTGGCGTGCTCTCCCATTCTCATGTGGGCGTGAAGGTAAGAACGCATACGACTGGGACTGTCTGATTGGGTCTGCTCTAGTTGGAAACACTAAACGGGAACGATCCACGTCAGCACCTCGTACTCTATTTTCTCGACTTTCCCAAACCGATCAGAGCTGGAGCATCCATATATTGGAAAAAAAAGGCACCATCCCTTCAAACTATCAGGCTACTTATGAGGCACTTCAAAAGGTATTGAAAGGTGGAACGGGGGGTGGAACAAGACTCGCGGAGGGGCATGGCGAGATTATGTGAGGAGCGCAATGACGAAGAGTAGAAATGTTGACACTAGGTGTATGTGGGAGGTACAGAACAGAAGCGAGAAAAAGGCGGCTAGGATAGAACTGTAAAACACGGTGCAAAGTACGCTTATGCTTCTTGACAGGAAGCATCGTAATGCTCGCACACCGCACCGCGCATGTCGTGCGATCAGGCCAGGCGGCCAGGGTATATACGTTCCAGCCCTGGAAATTGGCGACTGGTTGTCGATGGGGAGAGGGAGCAGAGAAATTAGGGATGATTCTAGATCGAGTTGACTCTAACATCTCGTATCGAATAAACTGGCGGCTGGGTGACGGAATATCGAGTCGCGGAGATGCCACGTCAGCATAGCGGCGAAGAGGCCACAAGCAGGAAGCGAGGCTGGAACGGGCACGCGACAGGGGCATATGGAATGGATGGAATGCGTTGCATTTGAAGGCATGCAAACTGACTTGGGAGGGGATTCGATGACGATTTTGGTTGCGACCAAGACATAAATCACATCGCATGGCCTTGGTAGGGTCGCTTTGCTGGTGGTGTGGTTTGGGGGGGGAATGCAGCAAAGGGAAGCACTGGGGAAGTCATGGATAAAGTGGATAGAAGGGGTCGAACCGAGTGAGGTTGTGTGCACTCAAGTCCCTCAGAGCAGCATGCATTCGTAAGACCGTGGGTTGTATGCGGTTCAAAACAATGTACTGCGTTTCCGCGTAGTTCAAGTGTACCTTCAGACGGTTGATTCTGTGGACACCTTTTTTGACACCATCCAAAGTGAAAGGAACCAAGCCGCACCTGCCTCGACTTGCCCACAACCAAGATTTTCACCCGTACATCTCACCAAGTTTTCCCTGAGGTTTTCCGAAAACTTTCCACCAGCCCCTTTCTGGTGGGTACAAATTCCACCAGCCAACAACTTTCCGCCACCCCATTTCGCTCCATTTTCCAATCGGCGAGCCTCGGTTTTTGCTTCGACACGACGCGACGTGTCCAGTAGTAACGCTTCCGAGCCATCCTTTGAACCGCGTTGATAGCCGAGGCCCGGACCATCAATCGAAACGGTGCCAGCAAACCCTCATTTCATTGGACGATCGGATCCGAGACCTGAACGCGGCCAGGCTGATTGCCGAGATGAGCCGTCCGATGAGGTCAGCTCTCTGCAAAGCTGACATTGTGGAATCATATTGAGGGACCCAAGACTGGATTCCGTGGACGCTCGATACGAGCCAGCTTCCATCTCGTCATACCGCCAGCCGTGGCTTCATTCAATCACAAAATTCGGTGGAAGCACAGTGGAGCCGCCAGTGACAAAATCGAGATGCAATGTGGTTGAGGTGGCATGTGCAACTTCCTTTGATATTGCCTTGTCCTTCATCAGAAACACTTTGAAATGGTTGTCTGTTACGAGTGCAATTGAGTGAGCGAACGAGAATTGCACTATCGAAGCAAGAATACAATGAGCGAAGGCATGAGCGAAGAATATATAGCGAAACTACAGTGGTAACGGTAATGGACTGTGGTTGTCGCGCGACGAGCCTGGGACTGAGGTTGGGAAAATGTCGAAGCGTAGGCCCGGAGCGCGGGTTACCCGTCGAGCCGTGAGCTCGGGATGCGATGTGCGAAAATGGCGGGATGATTGTCGATGCGATGATCGCGAGTGGTAACGGTGCTGACTGAGGTGCTACAGTGATGTACGCGTTGAGCAGGGATGCGAAGTAAGGAAAAGGGATTTTCCTTACACTACCCCCCCTCCTAAGGGGGTCCCTCTTACGAAAGTGCGTGGACGTCTTTGAAGTTTCGGCTGCGTAGATATTCGGTGAGGACGGGGTGGTTTTCGATCTTGTCCACGGGAACCCAGTTGTCCTCGGTGGGTGTTCGGTCTTTCCAGCGGATCAGGAACTCGATCTTTCGAGCTCCTCGGGGGTCGCGAACTCTGTGACTCAGGATTTTGTCGGGGGTGATGATTGGTTCAGATGGTGGTCGTGTCATGCTGGACGGTCGATGTCGTGGGAGTTGGCCGGCGGACGGTACGTAGGGGCGAAGAAAGCTGACGTGGAACGAGGGGCTGACGTACCAGTCAGCAGGGAGGAGGAGGTGTGCGGTGACGGGTGTAATCATGTGGCTAATTCGGAATGGCCCACAATATCGGGGACGGAGCTTTGGAGTGACGGGCAGGCGGAGGTTTTGAGTGTCGAGTAAAACGAGGTCGTCGGGCTGATAAGTGACAGGTCTGCGGTGGCGGTCGGCGTTGCGTTTAGCGATGATGTTCGATTTCTTGATTGCTTCTGCTGCCCTGGTGCGTGTTGCTTGCAAAATCTCGGCGAATTGTTGTGCACGTGGGACGGGGTTGTCGGGATTTGGGGTCATGGGTACTGTGGGGTCTTGTCCGTAATTTAGGTAAAACGGTGACTGTTGGGTCGTGGCGGATGGCGCGTTGCGAATTCGATGAGTGGCAGTTGCTGTTCCCACGTGTTTGGGTCGTCGCACGTGGCCCTAATGAGCTGCTCCATGGTCTGGTTTGTCCGCTCTGTCTGTCCGTCGGTTTCGGGGTGATACGATGAACTGAACTGTAGTCGCGTGCCAAACTGCTGCCACAGGTTCCGCCAGAAGTTGCTGGTAAACTTCGTGTCTCTGTCGCTGATGATCGATGCTGGTATCCCGTGCAGTCGAACGACGGTCGAGATGAAGAGGCGGGCTGTTTCCTCGGCTGTGATTGATTTCTTGCAGGCTGCGAAGTGTGCCATTTTCGTTAGTCGATCGACGACGACCAAGATCGCGTCATTCCCACTCGCCCCGGCCGGTAACCCCGTGACGAAGTCCATCGTCACTTGCTGCCATGCACGCTCTGGGGGTGGGATCGGCTGCAATTGTCCCGCCGGCCGCTTCCTGGTTGACTTCATGATCTGGCAAGTGGGACACGACGCCACGTGTCGTTGCACGCCGGTCAACATTTCGGGCCAGTAATAATACCGCTGCAGCTGCTGCCGTGTTTTTTCTACTCCGAAATGTCCCGAGGTAACTCCGTCGTGTGCCTCCTGTAACAGTAATTCCCGTAGTAGTGTGTACCCTGGTACCCAGATGCGGTCGGTTCCAGCTTTTACGTAATAGACTCCCTTGGCTGCTGCGAATTGCTGCGAGTTTCCTCCTGTGAAGAATGGGTCTGTTTGATATCTGTGGGTAAATAGTCCTGTCAGTAGCGGACTAGTCTGGGCGAGTAGTATCGCATGGATCTGGGCAGTGGGGCGGGTCAGTGCGTCGGCGATATTCGAGGCTCCTTTTTTATAGGTGACTGTGTAATGGAAATTTGACTCGAGGAAATCGAGCCATCGAATCTGTCGTGGGTTGAGATGGGGTTGTGCACGGAGGTACTGAAGGGATCGGTGGTCTGTCCGTACTGTCACGTCTGCGCCGGTCAAGTAGCAGCGCCACACTTTGAATGCGTGCACGATCGCGAGCATTTCGCGGTCGTGTATCGGGTAATTTCGCTCAGGCGGATGCAGTTTGCGTGATTCGTAGGCGATGGGTTGGAGGCCGTTGCCGAAGTCCTGTAGCAGTACGGCTCCGATGGCGATGTCGCTCGCGTCTGTAACAACCTCGAAGGGGCGACGTGGGTCAGCGATGCGTAGGACGGGTGGTGAACAGAGAACAGTTTTCAGGGCAGAGAAGGCAGCATGCTCTTTCTCCCCCCACGTAAAAGCGACCCCCTTACGCAGTAAATCCGTGAGCGGGGCCGTTAAGCGCGCCATGTCGGGGACGAACCGACGGACGTAATTAACGAACCCTAAAAAACTCTGTAGTTCCGTGATGTTCGTCGGGGGACGCCACGCTTTGACAGTATCCAGCTTCTTAGGGTCGATTTCAACCCCAGCCTCCGAAATAACGTGTCTTAAAAATTCTAGCCTGTCCCGAAAAAACTCGCACTTGGAGCCCTTGGTGAGTAATCGATGTTCTGCTAAAATTTTAAAAACTGCTTCGAGATCGACTAAGTGCTGCTGCTTGTCGCGGCTGTAAACGAGGATGTCGTCGAGGTAAACTATCACGCATTTATCTAAAAGGGGCCTAAACACCTCGTTCATGGTCATCTGAAATGTTGCGGGTGCGTTTGTCAGCCCGAAAGGCATCACCGTATATTCGAATGACCCGTACCTAGTTCTAAATGCTGTTTTGGCGTAGTCCGATGGTTCGACCCGAATCTGGTGGTAACCCCCCCGTAAGTCTATTTTCGAAAATACCCGTGATGTTCGCAGCTGGTCGATCAATTCGTCGGCGCGGGGGATGGGGTACCGCGATTTGACTGTTACTCTGTTGAGCGCTCGGTAATCAATGCACATGCGAAATCCTCCGTCTTTTTTCGGTGTGAACAGTATCGGTGCGGCGAACGGTGACGAGCTCGGTCGGATAAACTGCTTCCTAATAGGTAATCTAACTGCTTCCTTAGTTCGTCGAGCTCGG